ATACCAAGTAAATCGTCTAATTTTCATTTTAACAAACGTCAAAAAAGACTACTGATTTTCTCAAATTTTCCATAAAATGCACCAGTTCCATAAAAATGACATTTTATGATTTAAGTACGTGTTATAGTATAAAATTCATATTTGATTGTGTATTTAATTCTGAATAAATAAATTGAATCGTAGTTTCTATAAAGATTTTAATCATTCACATTCAAAATAAACACTTTTCTCGTTCGCCATATTCATCTGTGCGTAGAATTGAAAAAAAAATGCATTTAATTTGCAAATGGAAACGTGATTTTTATTCACGCAATTATAAAAAGAATAGATTAAATTATTTTATACACATACACATTTTTTATTAAATTGCTTGTTTTTATTTCATTTGCAGTAGAAATTTTTTTATCGCTGAGTTTCCAGTACGATTATAAAGTCGGTACTTTATTTTGCTGTGGGGTTATATAATACCACACAATATAATACAATTTAATTTTGTGCAAACTTTTAAAATACTTTATTCACCTTAAATATAGCATTAAAAATTATAGCTGATTTTTTATTGCAATAAATAAAAACATTGAAGATGTTTTACGCTCTGATTTCAATTTTAAAGTACACCGACATGCCCTTGAGTTTTGTTGTTAGTAAAAGTTATGGATAAATTAATTATAAATAAAATACGTCATGCAATTCATTTACATTAACCGAATACTTTAAGATATAAAAACTGTTTCCATAATAAATGCACAATTAGCACGTGTGTGCTAATTTTTTATTTTTAATTGTAGTTTTAAAATATACTGAGTTGCTGTAAGGATAATTGTAATAGACAATAAAATAAATAATTTCTTTTGAAACAATGTTTCCAAATATTTTATATTCCTTAAACTCATTGTTTTGAAGACACAATTTATGTGAAAAATAAATACACGAATGAAATGAATATTTTTACCGTACGATTTTAAAATATAACGCTTTTAGCAGAAAATTCTTCAAAATATTTCATTTGACAATTTTTCATATAAATTAATACTATCTGTAAATGATTGAATGCACAATTCACTGTGAATAAAATTCTGAATAATAATAATATATTTTTAAATATAACAAACTGCTGTAACGTACCATGTTATTTTGATAGACAATAATACAAATTTGACAAATATTTCAATAAAAGAAAAAAAAAATGCAAAAAGCAATAATATGAGAACATAAAAAATTGTCTAGTTCAAAATCCGATTTTAAAGTATACCGACTTGCTTTAGGATCGAACAACATTAGATAATTGTATATCATTTAATTTGTCGAATATTTGATTAAAATTGTAGAAATGAAATATTTATCAAATATACGCACAGCTACAAATAAATTTATGAAAGATCTGTAAATACCATAGGTGTGATCTATGATTTATTGGGATTTTAAAGTATACCGAGATGCTGCAATATTAATTATAACTATATATTATCCTACCTTTAGGATAATGTAATTATAATTTATATTGCAGATTATTTAATTTCGTATGAATTTGTCAAATATTTTGCTAAAATTAAAAGAGGTATTTATGAGAGATATATTATGAGAGGTAACAAATGTACCAAACAAATAATTAAGCTACATATAAACAAATGGGCAATATGATAATATTAATAAACTTACATATTCCACTTTTTCCACAATTGATTTTTTCAAACACTTTTAAACACTTTTTCTACAACCGACAGACGGGCAGACAAACAGACAGGTCTATTAACAAACGGTATTTCTGCACTGTCGACATACAACTTTGCCTTAAACCTGACCCGATGAGAACTCACACTAATATAAAATAAATATGAATATAAATGAATATATTATATAGTGTGTGTTTTTTTTTACTCAAAACGAGTATTTCTCGGTATAGAGGTCCAAACGACTCCCGAGGTCCCTTGTGAATGAACTCTATCGCCGACAATGCAAGGTTCTTTGTATTCTTGCAAAGAACCTGATGGAAAAGTAGGAGAGTCGGCGGGGTTTGAGTATGCTAAGGGAGTAGGTAGATGGTGGAAATTAATTAATCTACAATATTTGATAATGTTCAAAGACCCTACAGCTATTCACTGCACTTCAAAACATACTATTGATTTAGGTGCATTTGCTTGTTTTATATTGTTTACAATTCTTAAAACAACCCATTAACATTTTTTTAATAACATTTT